GGGCACCTTAGCGGGTGGCGGATTCTTGGGCCCGTCACTACCTGAGCTGTCACGATCGGAAATAGCCCCTCCCTCCAGAATACTCCCATGATGACAGATATTGAGGGCGGGCCCGCCCGCTTTAGCTCGAAGAAATTGGGGTCCCGGAATCACTTCAGCCGACTCGTGGCTTTCCAAAGAAGAGAGTCGCCTCGGGATAGGGACCGGAGGCTCCACATCAATTAGTAAGTCAGAAACCCCGCCGGGAGAAGGCGCGCCAGCTGCCTCTACAATAATCACACCCCCACCTGCTTCCGTTGCATCAACCTCAATTTCAGTGTCCTCAAGCTTCTCAACTCCAGCAGACAACAAGCCCAACCCAAAAGGAACCGTAGTGGCCTGGCTGTCTGCAACCCCACTACGATGACCGGTAGAGACTGCAGCGTGCCCAGAAATCATCGCCCCGGACAATGAAGACAAGAGCGACCGGGAAGGAGGAGACGAAGGGAAGACCAAGAGGGAGGGACGCAGAGAGAAAGCGAACAGACGCCCTGAGAGCCGAAGCTTGAGCCATTAGGGTTTAAGGTTTTTTTGTTTTTTGTTTTTAAAGTGCACTAGGGTTTAAGGTTTAGGGTTTTGTTTGGGTTTAGGCTTTAGCAGTTGGGGGCCAGGTGTTGGGGGTTTAGGGGTTAAGGCTCAGGGTTCAGGTTTAGGGTTTAGGTTTAAAGTTTTGGGCTTCAACGTCTAAGGTTCAGGGTTCAGGTTTCAGCGTTGAGGGTTTCGACTCTCACACTCGCACAAGGCCGGCAAGGCTCCGCAAGGGTTTATGGGTTCCAGCACGACTAGGACCTGGAGGCCAGGCTCTCCAACAATCATTACGGATCCCACAAACCCCTTAACCCCTCAACACCTATGTCCTGAACCCCAAACCCCCAAATCCTAAACCCTAAAACCCCAAACCCCACATAAACCTGTAAGCCTAGACCCCATCCCAAAGGCCATCCAAAGCGCAAATATGGCTGATCTCTTTCTGCAAGAAGGGGCGGTGGAAAGAGGGCAACAATGCAGGATTCCGGCCCTTCTTCGCAGGTTAGCGACTTTGTCTGAAAGAGGTCTTTCGAGGCAGGAAAGGCGAGGGCGTAGCAGCCCGATGTTTACCCCAACCCTAAAACCGTAAAATCCTGAAACCCCAAAACCCTAAAGCCCTAAAACAACAAAACTCTAAAACCCTAAAACCCAAGACCCCTAAAACCCTAAACACTAAATAGCCTTACCCTTAGACCCTATTCTAACTTAATGCGTTCCCAGCATCTTTGCTGACTCCTTCAGCCCTTCTGGGTTGCAGTGCTCCAAGATATCAATGCTCACACGGGTCGTGAAAGCCTGATTGTTTGGCGCTTCGGGTTTGGGGTTTAGGGCAGGGTTCAAAGTTTGGAATTTGGTTTAGGGTTTAAGGTTTGGGGTTTAGGATTTAGGGTTTAGGATTTGGGGTTTAAGGTTTAGGGTTGAGGGTCGAGGGCTGAGGATTAAGGGTTGAGGGTTGAGCGTTGAGGGGTCAGGGTTTAGGATATAAGGTTTTTGGGCTTCGGGTGCAGGGGGTACGGTTTAAGGTTTAGGGTTTAGGATTTAGTGTTTAGGGTTCAGGGCTTAGGGTTCAGGGTTGTTTTGGGGCTGAAGGCTTATGGTTCTTGTCTTGTCGGCACACTTCTCGATTTGCACGTTTGGGTTTAGGGCTTACGGTTTAGGGGTTTGGGTTTAAGGTTTAAGGTATAGGGTTTTTGGAGTTTTTGGGTTGAGGGTTGAGGTTGGGATGAGCGACTCTGGTCTGGAAGCCCAACGTGAGAGGGCTCTGCAGTATTGTTCCAAGTTCTGGAAGGCCGTGTAGTATCTAAACCCTAAGCCCTAAACCCTAAATCCTAAACCCTAAATAAAGCCTAAACCCTAAATCCTGGGCCCTAAAATCCTAAACCCTGAACCCTAAATCCTAAACCCCACAGTCACAATGTTCAGCCCTTGAGCCTCAAACCATCACCCGCAAAAGCGTAAACCTAACAACGCGGGGAGCAAACAAACACAAAGCCACAGTTTAGGGTTTAGGATTTAGGATTTTGGTTTTTTTTAGGATTTAGGGGTTATGATTTCGGATCCGGGATTTAAGGTTTAGCTGGGATTTAGGGTTTGAGATTAAGGGTTTAGAGTTTTAGGGTGTAGGATTTAGGGTGCTAGGCTTGGAGAACACACGAGCCCCCAACTGTCCATATGAACGCCCCAAAGGCATGGATATCCATGTGAGAACAAGTCATTGCACGACCCCGACACAAAGCCACATACAAACTGTGAACCTCAAACCTGAAACCTTCACACCTATAGGCTTTGCAGGAGGAGCCAAGTGCCTGAACCTTAAACCCCAAGTAAACCACGACCTCTAACCTTAGACTAGACTAGCCCCTACACCCCCGATACAAGAAAAATCTAAACCGCTAAACCCTTTTTTGCATCAGGACTTGTGCAATAACCCCTAAACCCCAAACCCCTGAACCCTAGAGCCCTGAACCCCTAAACCCTAAATACACCCTAAAAATCTAGGGAAACCCTAAACCCTAAACCCTAAAGGGCACCTGCCCCAGAATGAAGAGGAGAATGGCCAACACGGCCACGATGATCACGGCGAGGTAGTGCGGGCTGCTGCCATCCTGCAGGCTTGTAGCTTGGGCTTAGGGTTAAGAGTTTAGGGTGTAGAGTTTACTGCTTGGGGTTTAGGTCTAGGGTTTAGGGTCAGGGTTTACAGTTTAGGGTTTTGTTGGTGGGGTTTATTTAGGGTTTAGTAGCCTGACCCCATACCTCTAAAGTCCAACCTAGATTCCTTTTCCGTGAACCCAAACCTCTCGCCTGAACCCAAACCCTTAAACCCTGATCCCCAAGCTCTAAACCGAACCCCAAACCCTAAACCCTAAACTCCAAAAACTAAACCCTGACACCCTAACAGCTGAACACCCTGGCACACGTACCGCGGGCCTCGTCCTGCGGCCACCACGCCATTTCGCGCCGGTTCCCACAAACCGACCGGGAGCCAAAGCTGCTGGCTTCATGAAGGGCTGGGGCTTTAGGAGTTGTGATGTTAGGGTTGAGCGTTTAGGGTTTAGGACTTAGGATTTAGGGTTTTAGGGCTTGGGGTTTCGGGATTTAGATTGAGTGGTTGAGGGTTTAGGGACGGCGTTAGGAGGGTTGAGGGTCTCGGATTTACACCTCCCTGACAACCTTTCAGGATGTTTGCCCCAAAGAATACTGCACTGAGGAGGACGGCCCTGCTGGGCACTTTATTTCTGGAATAACGGGTTCTCTCAGTCCACCCCTCTGTGATGTTGTGAAAACGGAAACCCCGGCTGTAAGGGTGACAAGCGAGGATCGCAAGCAACTTGTCGCCTTTTGCCGGGCACACGCTTTAGCCCCGGCACTCACTTTGGCTGCCCTTACTTGGGAGGGGCACTTTACTTATAACTGAATTATACCTGTAACCTGTAACTATAACCCACTGATGAGCCCTCGAAGTTCCCTAAGTAGGTTATATAGGTCATAACAAGGTCATCAATCATACTTCGGCTATAAGTAAAGCGCCCCTCCAAGTTGGGGCAAAAGTTGAGACTAACAAAAGGGCTCTTGAAAGATCTTCATCCCAGGATCGAACCACAGAAAGGCTTGCGGATGCTTGCGGCTGACGGGTGTCTTCTCGGGCGTCTGGGGTACCCATCGAAACGCGGCCACCCCGGACCCTCGATCGAAAAAACCCAAAATTCAACCCTAAACCTGGAAACTCCTCCCCTTCCTGGCTTGAGACATCGTGTTCAACTTAACTCCTACACCGTGGAAAAGCCAGGATACAGGGGGTTAAAGTCTCAACAATAAAGGGACATAAAGGCGTAGTAAACCCTAATAATCACAACGGTGGTTGTGGAGCCTAGCCACCACACCCTTGACACATTCTCTCTGCCGTCTGTGGCTAGCCCCTCCCTGGGGGAGGGCTCAGGAGTGGGTTCAGGTCTCAAAAACTACTGAGGGCACAAAGTTCAAGTTTAGGATTTAGGACTTAGGATATGGCATTTGGGTCTTAGGATATGGGATTTAAGACGTAATTCCATGGCTGATTTCAGCGCTGGCAGATTACAAGATGCATAATCGTTGACACACCTCCCTGTCAATAGAAGATATGGAGGTTCAATATTTGCAGATGGTGGAAGCGGACGAATAATATTGAACACCCATTTACAACGCCTTAATGACCCTTCAAACAAGAGTCCTAACGGTACTGAGTTTACGAAAATAGAGCCGACGGATAGGGGTCATAAACTGCCTTGAACGCTGAAAGGTAACGCTTTCAATGTTTTTGTCCACGAGTGTTTGCTCTCAAAAACACTGCCCGGTTCAGACTTCCACGGTTCACAGTAGGCTTCAGGATTTACGGTTTAGGGTTCCGGTTTGGGGGCTTTTATGATGGGACCTGTGAGCGCAACGCCGGAAACACCCCCAGAGCTACCCTCAGCCTCTGACACGGAGAACCTCCCATCACCTACTAAATGATGCACCTTGAATACCAGAAGCTAGCGGCTAGGAACGTCACTGAGCAAACATGACCGACTCCCACGTGCGATAGGGCAAGTAAATATCTTCAATACCCGTCTGTGCATAGAATGCCCTAACGAAGCAATCAACACTCCAAGCAGAAGCAGCCCCATGAACTTTACAAGAACTTTGCAAGAACGTGTTTTTCCAAGGCTCGCCGGCTCCGTCACACTATCAAACCCGAATTAATCTCAGGAGGGTGGATTCCCAAATCTTGCAGCACTTGAGAACCGTTTATAAGCTCCTTCGAAGAATGCCAATAGCACAAAAGCTGCCAAAGATGAAGACGCTTTAGACTCAGACCTCTTATGTTGCAAACCATGTTTGACAGCTCTCTGCGTGGTGACTATGAATTATTGTGGCCTTGGCCCCCTCGGGCCTCGGGCCGCGAGAGATGCAAAGGACTAGTCGAAGATACTGTCAATCAAGTCATCTACGTCGACATCTTCACGTACCTCTGTGCAGGGTTCGCCGGACAAGTGCTTCTTTCTAGCTTGATCTGTGCTTGTACACTCAAAGGATCTTGAATGATCACGAACTGATCCTGGTGTCGCTTCTGACATTGCCACCTCCTCATCGCCGTCATTTGCGAAAATGTCACTGAGTAGTGCCTCTACATCAAGATCCACCGCCCAGAAGGGGCCCTGCTTTGTGTGCGTGGAGGAAACCAGCTCTTGTGCAGCATCAACTTGCCGCAAACTTTTCGCACTTTCTCGCCCTGGCACTGGTTCCTTTGGGTCAGGGTAGGCCCTGCGGCAGATCGGCAGACTGGCTTTGGCCATGATCTTCGAGCTCACGCCTTCTTGGAGCTTCTCGGAAGGTTCGCGCTGCTGGCGTGTCTTTTGCTTCGACGGCAATCGATTTTTTTGACTGGGAACAGGTTCCGTCTCCTTCCAAGCTTTCTGAAAGGACTCAAGGAAGTCGGACAGGTGCAGGAACAAATTCTCGTAGGGAGGTGGAGCCGCATCGGTTGCCTTGTCCTCGGATGTGCAAAGGTATTCTTGCACCTCGTCACACTTACCAAAAGCTATCGCCAGTGAGTTCTCCAACTCAAGAGCTTCTGCATGCAAGTCTTGCAGAAGTCTGCTCGTGACCTCTGAAGCAAGCTGATCCTCCGGCATTAAGGACACCTCCCTTTCTGCGAAGTCAACTTCTTTCTGGAAGGCCTGGATGCAGGACTTTAAATGCACGCTCTTCTCCCTGGCCGCCTTTTGAACATCCTTTAGACTCATCTGTAAGGCGTCAAGAAAACCGGGATTTGCTCGGCGAAAGGTCACGCAGAGAAACTGGAGAGTGGACATGCTGCCAAGTCTAAAACTTGTAATGGCAGCTAATGTCTCAATGGAGAAAGCACAGGCACCGCCACCCATGTCCTTCATTCCATGGTTGATGTAGTTGCCGATGCGCAGAATCAGAGCCAGGACCTTCCGCAGCTCTTGGCTGCTTTTGACTTCCATCGCTGCCAGATCAAGGGTGCGACACCGTTGCAGGTACGTTGCTGCACTTTCTGCGTGCGAAGCGGCAAACCGAAAAAGTCTCAAGCGAGCAGTTGCCCGGGGCAGAAAGCAGAAAGGCAAAACCTTCTGCTCAATGTCCCTCAACTGCTCCGGACAATCCTTATGGCTCTGCAGCTTTTGTGTTTCTTCTGGCGTCGGGAGTACACTCGTCAGCAGCTCCACCATGTCATCCGAAAGTGCAAGCCGAGAAAAATCAAGTGACCCTAGCGCTTCGCACACGTCCTCGGACGACACTGGAAGCTTGCTCAAAACGATGGCGATGTTCTGTGCCCTTGAAGCATCGAGAACCTCCGCAGACATTTGAAGGTTTGGCTGATTTTTTGGCTGATTTACGAAGCACTCAATTCCGAGGACCGGAAACGCAAAGCCGCCGGCCTTTATCCCTTCAGGTTTCTTGTGCTGTGAGGCACGACTCTTCGGCGCAGTGTTTGTTCTGGTACCTCAGCCCAACAAGCATCGCGAAGCATGTCGTCACAGTCATATTAGTAGCAGCGCACTGGCACCTGTTCCGTGCTGAGGCGCCGTTAAGCAGGGATGCTAATGCATCCGTATCCAAATCAAACGCAGCATCTGCATCGCCAAACACAGTGTCGTGCTCAGGTTGCTGGTATTGGGGCTGCACCTCAGTATGAGGACAAGCCAACATTCGGACACAGCTTTCGGCACCTGCTGACAAAGAGTTCGATCTTAGAACACTGTGAAGAGATTCCAAGGTGCCCAATGCATTCTCCGTCCAAACGGGGCCGTTCCTTTGGCTTTGCCTTCTTCTCGCTCCTTGGCCTAGCGGACGGGTGCCCCGGTCTTCACGTTTTCCCCGCTTCGGTAAAACTTCAACAGTTAGAGGTAGACTGGCAAGACCGACGAACTGACTTCGTCCCGCGAACTCGCCTCTTTGCCCTTGCCTTTTCCCTTGGCTGAAGAGTTTGAGCCCCTGCCTCAGATCTGCATCAGCTCGGCAAGTTCCTAATGAGCGATGTGCAGCTGTCTTGGTTTCGGCAGAAGACCTTCAGGAATAAAGAACCGTGAGTCATTCGGATTCGGACAAAGTTGTGGCTCTCCACTTATGTTCTGCAGCTAGCCAGGCACTTCGCGAAAAGAATGTGCACCTGGTTGTTCACACGACGGAAGTCGTCGCTCCGAGTCGCGCAGAGAAGCGACGGATTGAATTAACGAGTCTTCAAGCGCGTGACAATTCAACAAGCTGAGCTTAAGAGGGGGGGCTTCGATCACGAACCAGACCGGCAGGGAGTCTCGAGGACAGACGGCAAGCAGAGAAGTTTCCGTTCATTGTTTCTGCAACTACTCAGTTTCCAGTCTGGGTCGCACCAGCATCGCCATGCTGAAAACCAACTGTCACCAAAGTTTGAAATCCGAGTGTGACTGGGTGTGGCATGGTGTGTCATTTGTAATGACCAACGCATCCCCAAATATCCGCAACACCAGCTTGCTGAGGCCCCTGGCCCTTCCCTTTGGGAGGTGGGCCCATGCCCTGCGCAGGGATGCTTTCAACTTCGCTTTAACTTCGTCAGTCAAGCCGATCTTAAGCCTAGGACCATGGAGCATTGCATTCGATGGTCCTTGGCACAGGTGGACTTGCCTTTACTTTTGGCAGGAGCTGCTCCTTAGCCACAGCGGGATGGGAAGAACTGATCGCAAGATTGTCTCAAATGCTTCGGTTGACTGCACTGCTTCCTATCTAGCAGCTGCGGGCGTCGGGTGGGTGAAGACAATGACCCTTGCATCGCGAATCAACATGTGTTCCATTGTGTTCCACAACTATCACAACTGGACAGCCGCACTGACCCGACGGACTCGCCGGCTTCTGTGTTGCAACGAAGCAGCTTTGTTGTGTCGAGCTTACGCCGGCAGATCCATCCTGCCGTCAGCCGCGGTGACTCCCATGTCGTCATGGCTCGGTGATGAGCCTGAACCGTCTCCCCAAGCACATCGGATTTTGCATGCGCAACTTGTTCTGCCCGCTCCTCAGATCTGGACATGCCTGCGTTCGACTGATTTTGATACGCGACTCATGGCCCGCTTAAACATTCATGGCAGCACTCTCCAAACCCAAGCAAGCTCGTGCCGGAAGAAGCTGACAATGTGCTGATTAATAATGGCGATAGCGGCCGAGTGACTGAAGATATCGGCCTCGCACATGCAAGCCCACACAGGGCGTGCAACCGAACATCGATTAAGACTTTACATCGACATCATGATCTGACATTGTCTCAGTTCCACACTTTTGTGACATTGGGTCGCTTTCTTTAAAGACTCGGCTGAAGTAAAACTCATCCAGCCTTAGCAGAGGGGTGCAAGTGGGGACAGTGGCCTCCATCATTGGAGTTGGAGGAACAATTTAGTCACGCAACTTGATGTGCCCAAGGCCCACCTCGTCAGCATCACGAGCGTGGCTTTGCAGGCTGACACACGCATGCACACACTCACATGCACGGAGGCGATCAGGCATCGTGGCATCCAGAGCAGAGTTCCAAATGTGGCATGTCTAGAAGACTTGCCTCGCGTTTTATATTATGGGTCTTCAGCGGCCTTCGATCCCCGTCCGAAACTATGGTGACAAGCCAGATAAAGTCAGAAATCATCAATAAGATTGTCGCGTTGGGCAACGAGTCGACTTTTGACCGGCAACAGCTCAGCATATGGCTTCGCTCAATTCAGATGTCTCGCCCGAGCCGCCAGGCGATGACAGTAGAAATCAAATCACTAGTAACGTGCCAAACAGCCACGAAGCGATCCGTGCACAAGTTGACTTGCCGACAGCAAGTCGTGAGCACACATGAGCACACCATTCGGGTTAGCTGAGCCCTCCGGCCAAACGTTCGGCCGCACTTACACAGGTGACCCCTGTACTGTGCTTTGCAACACATCCTGGTCCCTGCGAATAATGTCGACTGTCCCATTGAATTCATTGAGAAACCATCCCTGCCCGCATCCCGAATAGTACAGATGTTTCGGTGCGGCCCATGGGGAAGGCACCCACTCCTGCTCCCTTAAAACGTCGATGTTCGAGTCGCCCATTTGAGACAGCATCCAGGCCCGCAGTCCATGGACACCAGGAATCGCTCACGACATTCCTTGTCTCCCCAATAGTTCGTCAGCTTGCACAGCTGTCCTTTTAATTTTGCTGGCGATAGATTTTTCCCGCCAACATGCCCGTATGCCATAGTTGCTTAGCAGCAGTTTTTCGAACTGAGCGTGCGCGACCGCAAGGCTTTCGTGCTGTCGTCGTCCGAATATCTCCGACTGACATGGAATCTTCTCCGACCTGCTTCCACACCATAAGGCAGCACAAAGGAATGCCAAGTCAACCCAAACAAGTACACTCCAAGACTGTGTCTGGTTGTTGCACCAGCGCGACGGGAAACTGTCCAAACACTTTTTGACTTGTTGTTGCAGTCGTCATGTCGCGGTCAATATGCTTGGGGGGGATTCTCTACGGCCGCGCCGCATTCGAGGGTCTTGATCGCAACAGCCCTAGGACCTAGGATATCTTGGCGTCCATACCAACTAGCTAGAGCTGCTTACGGGGTTGTGCATGTCAGTGCAGGAATATGCATGTCAAGCAGTTGGACACACCTACGCGATCACCACTACAAACGACTCTGGCTGATGCTGTCATCATCAGCCCCTGCTCGTTTCTGGGTAGCAGAAGACGCCCGCTTGTGCGGTGCTTTTGTCCCAAAATATCTCCCACCTCCTTCTGTGCCAGCTCGTCTGCTTCCAAGTTTGAGTCCTAGCCAGTCTGTTGGGAGTCGGCACGGAGCAACCGACCGCGTCACGTGTAGCACTCCTGCAGGTCACCGATGTCGTCTTGGAGGCTGAGCCACGATGACACGACAGCCTCACCGCTCTCCTAGCAACCTCGACTGAAGCTACAAGCGCTCTGCACTCCACACTCTGCCTGGCTCGTGGGCCAATGGGCTGCCATACGGCAACAGGCCGTGCGCAGCATCTCTGCGACTTCGGCATTGCCTGAATTCCATACATTGCAGCACGAACAGCTGGCTGGACATAGCTGGGGCATGAGCTCACGTCCATTTGGTCCAGACCAAGAACCGTCAGCCCTCAAGAAATTCAGCGAACACGAAGGCTAAGTGACGCATGTTGCCGTGGCGGGTTTGCAGAAAGCTTTGGGTGCCTGTTGGGTGCAGCCTGCTGCATCTTTCCAGTAGCTCTGCCTCACAGATTGACATGTGTCATCTCGAAATAAGTTGTGATGTCAGGCCTGTGTGGAATATCGCAGGATTGCTGCAACGTCTCGGGCTTGTGCAACCGGAGTCATTTCTGAACTGTCCTCCTAGCAATCAATCAAAACCTTCTATTTATTTCGCTGGCGTGCCCCGTCGGCAATTCTTGGTCACCGTCGCTAACTGCGGCCACTCTCTGAGAATTCCGTAACTCCAAGCCGGTCCGAGCCATTCCCGAGCCTCGCGGTGAAATCATTTTTATGCATCCGAGCAGCTGACGGGATCTCCGCAAGGCGGCGGCTTGCTTTGTCGGCCAGTGCTGCTCGAGCAGCGACGGCACCGGCCAGGGCATCACATCCCTCCAAACCAACCTGCTCTCACAACTCGGCTGAAACCGTGTGTTCCGACAGACATCACGTGTCCGTGACTCGGAGATTGAGGGATTGCACAGGGCTTGCACAGACAATAGCTGCCAGCAGTCGGATTAGCAAAATGCGAAGTTCTGACTGCTTGGAACTTTGGCGAACTGTGTCGGCCCGTTATGAAGATCTCTGAAGGTGAATGTTCTCGCCTGGGTGCAAGCCAGGTCTAGCTGCTCCAAGCCCCAGGAAGCTTCGAAGCCTAAGCAGCGTGGATCCTCGCGCCAATTCGCATTGTGTGACGTGTTGATACGCATTCTACGCTTCTGCTTTCAACGGCAAGCTCCTGGGTGCTGGCGGCAGCAGCAGCCGCTATGGCTTTCGCACCACCATCGCCCACAGGATTGCCGCTGAGCCCCAGTATCTTGATGCCTCGTGCTTTTGCGCATTCAAAGAGTCATGGCATGACTCTGTCAGAGCCTCCGGCCTGTGTGCGGGGGCATCGCCAAGCGCCTCTCCCACAACCAACTGTGCTGGGACGGTGCGCTTGCAAGTGAGCGAGACACCAGTCCTTGCCTCTGCGCCTGCCTTAATGCTCTCATCTGGTAACTCGGACTTCCCTGCTGTCTGGGCATACTTGCAAGCATATGCAGCTTCGGAGCAGGGCGCCAGCCAGCACAATCGAACCACGACTTCCAATTGCCTCGGCTCCAGGACCGGACTCAGACTCAAAGGCTTACGTCGTACCCAGTCGTATCGTGTCAACCAACGTCCTTTTCAAGAAATCCAGGCATTAAGGATTCTGTAGGACTCCGCCTCTAGCTAAACAATCTCGGCTGGTTTTCGATGGATTTGTGCTGCATGGTGGGGCCATTCGACACACGTTCCCTAGAAGCCAGCACAATCCTCCGATGCTGTGCAGGTTCAAGCGAACAGCATTCGTGCATGGCCGAGTGAGCGCTTACTGCAAGACATGGCCTAAGAAGAAATATTCGGGCGGTGCTAGTTGCTTATGCTCGGCCGCCGGGGATGGGGAGCGCTGTGTGAGCAAAGGGTCCTACACACCCCTACCAGTCAAACAAACAACTCGTAGATGCCGGCGCCGGCGACTCATCGATGTACAGAAATGCACAGGCTGAAGATTGGCTGAAGCATCTCGGAGAATGTGGCGTTGTGTATGGTGGGGTCCATGTCCCAGCCCATAACCCTCTGTCCAGGATGCTTATACAATATCTGAACACTCCATGTGTCACAGCATCTTTTCTACCTGGCATCGGTATTTGCATGGTCGACGGCCCGGGTGCTGACAAACCGATCCGTTGCTGCAACTGTTGCACCATGCGGGCCTGTCCTCTGAATGGCAAAACACTCTGGCCATTGGCACAAAACCTCCAACAGAGTACGCAGGCCGACAGCTTGCCTCAGCATCCGTGTTCGAGCCATTGCTTCCTTTATCTCAGGCAGCTCCGTCAAACACTGGAATGTCAGTCCTTGCGGAGAAACACGCAAAGCTGCTTCCGACGCCCGCAGCAGCTCCTCAAACCCATCTTCTGCAAGGCGGCCGCCTACGAGAGAGTCAATCGCCGAAAGGGCACGTTTTGTACTGTCAGGTTTGCCTGCTAGGTGTACTTGTGCATAGGCTTCTCCGAAGTACACTTCCGTCTCTGCTTCTCTTGTAAGAAGCAAAGTTTGCAAGCCCGCTTCCGTCTTTATCTGCTGGACTTGGCGGCCCTGTGGCCCAATCAAGACTGAGCGTTGCTCCGGAGGAATGAGCCAAAGTACTCTGCAGCAACCGCTGTCCAACTCCATCTCCTTCACAAGTTCCCGCATGGGTACCACTCCTTAGCACATTTGGGCACAATGAAAATAACGCAGCCCTGCCGTGCGTGGCTGCGCACTTGCCCATCTCTTCCTTATCCTCCTTTCGAAGGAGTCTGGGACGGCGGTTCCCCCCAACTTGCGAGCCCAATGCTCGCTGCCAACTAACAACAAATCAAACCAGCTCACCAACCGTACTGCAGCCCTCTATGTGAAATCCCATCCTTGACTGTGCTGGTGACGTGCCGACCGAACAGGTTCGTAGTGGAAGCAGGCTCGTCTTAGAGTTCCTCAACCCGCTCCGCCGGGTCACCGGTCTCGTGACTTCTCAGCTCACTGTATTTGGAACCTGCTTGCTGAAGGATTTCAGCTCAAACAATGCAGAAACAGAACACGTGAGATCTTTTCAAGCTGCTATCTGTACGACGGCTCGGTCTGTGCCGTCTTGCGGCAGCAATGTCGCACTGTGTCCAACAATTGTTCAACTAGAGACAGAGGAGTGCCGTGTAGTGTGCCCCTGAGAGAAAGTTTCCGATGCAACTCCTGCGCTGGCTTGCTAGGGACTGCAGAATCTGCTTGCTGTGTCGGTCTTAATGGCATGGGCGGCATGGGGCATAGGGGGGATCTCTCCAGATTCAGATTTCCCGCGTGCGAACCCTCACATCTCATGAAATTGCACAGGCTTCGAATCCTCTTCTGCTTTCCATGTCGGGCAAGATGAGCCGGAGTCCATTCTGCTGGCTTGGGTTCTCCACACTGGAAGCAGCGTGAACGCCTCGCAAAGCAAACGTTCCTGCACTTCTTGTTCGGGCACATCCAATCATCGAGTTGCAAACGCGGCGGCATCTTGCAGTTGGCCGATTGAACAAAATCGGCTGGATTATCCATGATGTGCTGCACCATCTCACGCACTGCAACAGAAGCGTCCTCGAAGGACGACTCGTTGTTGAAAGGTGGATACAGCACGAGTTCGAATCGCCCACACCCGCCACTGTATGCCATTTGCACCAAGGGGCGGTGTCCATGCTTGTGCGCGTCGTGACCGAGACACTCGCAAATGCAATCCACTATCCTCTTCATCGTGGTTCCACATTCACCCAATATTCTGCCGACGTCCTTCTCTGCAATGGAGCAATTTTCCACCATCGCGCGATATGATGTACCTTGCTCATGCTGCCCTGTGCGAAGAACAGAGTTCAGAAAGGCTGTGAGCCTTGCGGCCAAATTCTTGTCTTTCGTGCGGGTCGGATCAAACTTCATCATGACAATGCGCATAACCTCCCCAGGGAAGAATGACAACTCTTCATCTTAGCTGCAACTAGAGAACTGTGTTCAATGTTTTGGGATGTCTAGGGATGGACCGTGGATGGCGCAACCGAAACGCTGGATTCAGGAGAGTACGCTGCTCGACTTGTGCATGGAGAGTACGTGAGAGTCGAGAAACAGTCTGTAGCCAAGTTCACGAACAGAACAAGGTTAGGATCAAACACAAACTGAGAGCAGATTTGCGAATGAACGACGACAAAAGTCAGGCACCATGGGTCAGTCAGTTTTCTTCAACAAGCTGACCCCTGACTCGGGAACACTAAGCATCAATCTGCCCTTGCTGCCAGAGGGTAGGAGTCAGGACGATGGCCGTCCACGGAAGAAAGGCTGTGGGTTTCACACAGCTCCCGTCTTTAGTAAACGTTCCTAGTCACTTGGCAGGAGGGAGGGCGAGTTGCTCACCCCTTCCAACACGATCACGAGCATAATGATAAGCATCGCTAGATGATGACCGTCCTCGTCACCGTCCTCGGGGACCAGCGCCACCACATGCCACCACCACGAAGATAACCAATGATCATGATCACCAATGGGGTCCGCATCATCGTCAACCACCACCACCACCATCATCATCATCATCACCATCACCGTCACCATCCTTCCTCCTCCTCCTCATCATCATCATCATCAAAATGATGAGAACTACTCCTTTCAATTTGCAGTTGCTTGCTTCCCACGCGTTGTGGGACTGTCGTTCAAAGCCGTGTCCGTCTGTTTTCCCATTGGGGAGGATCGATTATGCCACGCGGCCCAGTCATGTGACTTTCTTCGTTTCAAGTTCGTCAACATGAACTTCTTCGGAGTAGCACTGGGCACCAAGTCAAGTGTGTCTCAGCTTCTCACATCCAATCCTGCAAGCCTAACACGAAAGCATCCCGAAAGAATCCCAGCGAAGGATACCTAACGCATTGTCGGGCGAATGGTTTGCAACTGCCGCTCCTTTCCAATCTTTCGCGCTGCAAAGCAAGTAAATCAACTTGGCAGGACCGAGGAGATCATGCAAAACCCGACTGTGGACAGCGCAAGCAGCGCCATTTACGGTCTGGCTGTCGGCGGCCGTTCCGAAATCTGCTCGTCGCTAGGCGTTCTCCGGGCAAACCTTCCGTAGCCTCTTGAGCTTCTACGTGTTAGTTTTTATCCGTCTCTGCGCCCTCTGAACCTCCCAATTTTCGCCGAGGCACTTCCAGCCAAGCGAGCAAGTTTCTTGAAACGTCTTAAGCTTGCAGGTTTCGAGCCCTCTCCCCTCCCTCTCAGTCCAGTCTCACAGCATAAGCGTGTTTCTCGCTCGATGCTTTCCGCTGCCAGAGGCTCCATGCACTTAATTTTCAGACTTGGCAGGACTCCTGCCAGCAGTCCCTAAGGGAGCTACTGGTTGCCACACGGGTTGACCCGGTCCTGGCCTCGTGGAGCCCGTGGCTAAAAGCCCCTACCTGGAAGGACGCCTTCCAGGACGCTATGCTCCCCCTACAGTTAGGAGGTCTTG